ATTCCCAGTGGCAGTGGAAGTCTGCCAAGTAGAAACAGACAGAGAGGGTAATTAGGCGAAGTAGATTCCAATGTTCCAGTTGAAATGAAAATCAAATGATATCCACTGTCATCCATCACTGTCAGGCCACTCTCTGTGCGCCTCTCAACAAATCATGCTATACTAAAACAGCGACCAAAAGGTTAGGGATACAGGCATCTGCAGGGGCTCATCCATCTCTGTTAAATATGAAGAACAGCCCATATCCTTGTGCCATCTCTTCTGGATCACAGTTGTATAGTCTCTGATAAAAATGGACCCATTGCCTGTTGATTTCTCCAGGCTATCTGGACACTACGGTCTGAAGGACATGCTGCACTGTACTGCGGAAACATATCTGAAGCCCACTGGAGCACAGCACTGAAATGTTATCTAATCTTAGCTAAATTAAAAAATCTGATCACGGGTGAAATTGCTTTTTATTCATTTTACATCCTTTGCTTCTCTCAAGGTGTTGAGAGTAAATGTTTGCTTTGGCCTTTTATTGATAGATCATTTGCTTTCTGTGGTCTTCAGGCATTTTTGTTGTACACATATCAATATTTCAGTCATTCAAGTAGACCAGGTAAAAACAAAACATCACTTCCTGAAGGCTGAGAGGACTCACTTTTATGCAGGATTTGTATTACAGATTAATGGGGCTTTCCTAGCTTTGCTGCTTTTTTACTTTCTCAGGGTAGGCTGCATCAATTTGATATTCATACACAGAGAAGTATGTCAGCCCAAATCTTCAGGGAGAAAACATTTGTAAATTATTGTTACAGCAGGCCACACAGTACAGTGTTGTTTTTTTGTTTGTTTGTTTTCTTGCAAAAGGCCAAACATTATATAGCAAGTAGTACTGAGGTTTTAATGATTACCTCTCATTAAAACCTGAAAATCCTTAACATATTTTAAGAAAGCTTTATACCATAATGCATTTTTGAAATGCTATTCTCTCCTCTTTCTGACAGATAAATGAATGTCAGGAGTTTTGCTGATTGTTACTATGCCGTCGCGTTACTCTGTAAATGTCTGTGAAGGTTTCTCTTGGTCACCAGTGAGGAACCCTTCATGTGAGCGGTGAGCTGTACTATGACTCCACACAGTTGCAGCAGTCGCAACATCAGTAGCATTGCTGTGAACGCCATGGTGATGAACTCAATGTGGCTTTTTTCTTGTGAATACTGTATGTCTGTTCAACTGAAAATGTACACGTACAGCTCCTGTCCCACTGTTCAATAATGGAGATGACATGATTTGTTCAATACACCTAATAATTATCTCTTCAAGTGTGATACCAGCTCGTGGGCTCCTGTTTGATCAACTCCATTCAGATACTTGACAGGCATAATAACAGTAATGAGTAGTGAACTGGCAGGCTCACAACAAATTATCTACATAGAGAGCAGACCTATACACTGGCCTTTAAAAATGCCAACATTATTAGTATCATTAAACAAGAAGGTTTGCCAATTGTTAACCTATGTACACAACTGTTTGTCAGAAATCCACATTAACAGGTGAAGGCAACAAATAGAAAAAGTACCTTTATTATCTTGTGTGAAAATTTACAGTTTTGGTGTAAAATGTCGCACAAAACATACAAAACATGTCACGTCTTTTACTTCCTTCTTCCAATTAAATATTTCTCAGTAAACATCTGCCTGCTTCACAACACAAACTCACAAAGCGACGCTGTCTCAGGTGAAGCTGGCGCTCATCGAGTCTTTTAAGGAACCGAATATGGTTGTATGGCATATTTTATTTTTCAGCATAACCAGGGCTGCTTGAAATTTGGATGTAAATAACTGTCTTCAATATTTAGAATGGATTATACTGTAATGAAACATATTTTGTTAAAACACTGAGTGTGTCAGTTATGATGTGGCAACTCATTAGATAACAGTAATCCAACTATGCAGTGAAATCTGTGAAGCTACGGGCTCTCAACCAATAATTAACATTTTGCCAAAATGAAACATTTACTTAGTTTTCACTCAAGTTGGACTTCACATGGGCCACCTAGTGTGTGAATAGTTTACACCAGCATCATAACCAGCAAAGCAGCACAGATAATGAATGGATGGACATTTACGCTGATAGCTCTTCTCTGATTGGTCCAGACTGACTTTCAGTTGCACGCATCATGACCACCTGAGTTAATGCATATGTGTGTTGCTCTATTATATTTGCTGGGTGCGATCACTGCGGTGTGCTGATCTGTTGTTTGAGTTTTGCCTTAAGTTTGTAAAAAGAAAACATCCTAATTTATGATTTGTTTTGTTCAAGTGCAATAAACAAAATGTCAAAGTAAGAATCTTGAAATAAAATCTACTGTTTATGATTCTAAAAGATTAGTTTTTGTATCTTTGTGGATTCTCAAGAGCTTATTGCTTTCAGACAAAACCTGTGTGGAAAAAATCAGAAGGATTTTAGGTTTGTACAGTAGGATCCAAGTGAGGAAAAAGATGTTGTTTATCAGGAGCTACTTTTCAGAAGCATAAGACATTGATCAAAAATTCATACTGGTGTTAAAAAACCTTAAGTGTTTCTGGCAGAATCAATCTAGGTAAAAATAAGACCTTAACAATTTTCCTTTCCTCTGGGAAGTAATCATGTACTGGCTGGCTCTAATTTATGCAGGAAGGATCATTAAATTCCCAATGAGCCCCTGCAAATTTTGTGCCCTGGTGATAAATGCAGTACAAAAAACTGTGCTGTTGAAAACATGCATTTCCAAAAACAAAATTTATGAATGAAAGCATTATCTTTTGATAAATTTTGCTTGTGGTGTCCAAACAAGCTCAAATAGAGAAGCAGAAACCAGGGAAATTAGGAAAATCTTGAGGTAAACGTGCAGTATAACTTTCAGGAATTACCGCACTGCAATAGAAAACAGCTATTCATGAAATAGCAAAGTAGAATTTGTCAGCCTGTAGCGTCGGTGTTCCTACAGTAACATCTTTCCTCCCTTATAAAAAGAGAACTGAGACCCGTTTTGGGAGATTTGTTTAATAATTCAGCACATCCTTAAACCAATTCATTTCAAGTGCCCAGATGGTATTTTTATTAGGCAAATGCTTGATACTTGAGAAGAATCATTTACTTGCGTTCCAAAACTGGCACCTTTGAGTCCCTTGGAATTTACTGAGCAGAGAATAGGTCGGACCTCTTGTTTGGGGTACTAATTTGGCAAAATAATAATGTCATGAATACCGCTGGGTTTGTGCCGCAGAGGCAGATGAGGTGAGAAAGTAGTGTGCTGAAGAACCACAGCCGTGAGACATTAAACTCATAAAGAGAAATGAGCTGTATGTCAGACAGAAGGAAGCATCTGGCCATGGTTCCTTCATGCACCATTCTCTGCTGTTACCAATGAGCTTTTTAGGCATATACACAGCATTCTCTAACTTCAGAACACAGGAAAATGTAGTCACAAGCCTCTTTCACTTGTACGTGCACCATTTTTAGCACACTCAGGTGTTTTCATACTCTGACTCGTAGCTCCTTTCTCTGCTAAACCTCCTTCCTGTCAGCGGCTGCTTCTGTGGATGTTAGGAAATGATAGTGACTGATACAAAGATACAAGGTTATTTATTAGTCATTGTTTATTGTGCAAAGTGTGTGTTTTAAATGCTTGCTGCACCGTTCTTCTGCCAAGATTTTTTACTGCATAATAAAAGCAGAAACACCACAATGCCATGTGCAGAGATGAGGGGAGTGGATTTCTGATATCTCTGACCTTAAAAATCCACCCTTTGGACAGAAACACCCCCTGAGCTGTAGTCACCTAGACTAGGAGAACTTCTTAATTATTAGCCTCAAGCAGTTTATTTTGAAGATACAGTTTAAAGGAAAGAAAAATGGTCAGAGAAATGTATTTATTTTAACTGAAGGGTCTAGTGCTGAAAATACAGTGGTAAAATGAATGGCAGTGACAGGGGCTGTGTTGATTGGCACTGCAGTACTGTCCTATTCCTTTTGATGGGATTAAATTGTCATGACCTCTCACATATGGAAATTGAGGCACTCATCTGAGGCTTTGCAAATGTCAAAATTATTAAATTTTGAGACCAGTTAAAGGCACAGTTCACATCCAGGTTATATGGTACTGGCCTACAGTAATAAATCTGTAAATGTATGTGTACATTTTTTTTGT